GTCTTAACATTTAAATTTAAATTGATTTAAAAATTCTTGTAAAACATTTAATGGAAAAAAAATTGCATTACATTATTTTATTTTAATATCATCTATGATATTATGATATGCTTACAACGTGCAATTCAAGAAATATCGGTAGAGTGAATAACTTTAATCTTAAATATTTTGATTTTCTTTTCACTGACGTGAAAATAATTTGGATCCATCTTCTGCAACTTTAAAGGATGTTTTCTAACATTTAAAATACAATGAACACATAAAAGTTGCTGCTGCTGTTGTTTTGTAAAAAAATATCTTCTCCAGAAAAAAAAAGTCAGTGAAATTTCAGTGAAGTTTTATGGAATAGCAATAGTCACTTAAACACTCACCACTCATTCGATATAAATAATTTCTTTCAGCTATTATGGAATCCGATTGGACGTTTTTTGATCAAATAATTATTACCATCTGAACTTTGTATAATCTGGAAAACTACCTTATTCATCACTGAAATATATATTGCAATGTATGTACAAGTTGACAGAGTTTTCTTTTTACCAAAAACTTATTTGTATGGAAATTATTTTTCCCTGTCGTGGAAATTTACTTTGGTAAGTTAGGATCAAATTCAAATTGTTTTCCTTGGCCTTGCAAGACAACTCCATTTACTGAAATAAAAAAATAAGTTTTTTTTGGGAATAAAAATCAGCGACATCAATGGATCTAAGGATAATATAAATCAAGCCCAAAATGATGTTACTAATACTAAATAAAACAGAATCAGACATATCTAGTATATTCAATACATTCTACAGAAAGAGCTAAATATAGATCTTTTGTAATTAAATACTTGCCTAATTCGGGTACTGAGTCGACGATTTTTTCTCCATTAGCTGCAGTCAGTCGAATGAGGAAAGGCGCCTTGACAGGTCTGTCAATAGGATCCACACCAAATGTCCAGAAACCGTCATGGGTATGAGCAAGGGTTGACCATTGTTGCCACTTTGGTTGAAAGAATTCTACTCTTTTGGCAGGAATTCTACCCAGATTTTATAGGTTAATTTTATGATGAAAATGCTAAACAATGCATTTTTTAAATAAAAATTTGGGGGGAAAATGAGAAAAATCTATTTATTTAAAAAAAAATCATCTGTAGCAATTCATAATATACCAAACGCATTAATAAAATCTTCCATGTAATAAGTGTTCATTAAGGTCAAACATCTTTTATTTATAGTTACATATATTTTTAAAACTTACCTTGCATTTCTGACTTGAAGCTTAATGTAATACGGACTACTCCCTTGAAATTTGTACTCGAGCGTTGAGTTCCTTACAGGACACTGTATTGCCTGCATTTCCATTCCTAACAATCCATCAACGTTTTCGGGTAATGCGGGAACCCCTAAAATCGAAAGTAACCGGTGCACTGCATGCAAGCAAATTATCCAGATATGAAAGGAATCGAATAAATTTTTCCTAAAATGTCTTACCAGGCATACAGTTAGGACAAAAATCCTTTACGAAAACTGTAAATGTCCCATCGATCGGCAAGCCTCCATTATATTTACCCGACATGTTAACCTGAAATATGGACATAAGACAAAATAACGAAATCAAAATTTGAGTTTTAATTGAATTTTGCGAAATCCTAATATTAATAATGTGTATATCGTTTTCTTTTTTCAAGATAATTATTATCCATAAAAATAAGTTTTGATTTTAATGATTTTAAAAAATGCACAAAATGGACGAGATTTCTGTAGAAAATTCACAAAACAAGAAATTCGACAAACGAATAATTAACAAAGCAGCATGATTTTGTTAAAACAAACAAACAAACCAACCCAAAAAACGACATTTTTTTTTCGCAAAACATACCCTGAAGCAGACGCCACAGGCAAAGCCTCTGTAAAACTGACCAGCATTGATTGCTATCGTCCTATCAATGTTCTGTGCAGCCGGGGGCATGCTTGGAGGGTCGTAGCTGCACGTCCCTCCATGGGAAGCTTCATAAAACATTCCCTGACAAAGATGGCATTATTTGTCATTATAACATTTCCGTACAACTTTATAAAATCTGTTCTATCTACATCCTTACAACTACAGAATACATAATACATTTTTTTGATACAGAAAAGGTAGATTAATAGTGGGATTTTTAAACCCTAAAACTGCATTTTTTTTAAAAAAAATATGTATATTAAATACACAATGGTCCAGAAATTTATTAGAAAAAGAAGAATTGTGTTTACATTCTAAAATACTCACATTTCCTTGATATTTGTATCGATAGAGATCTAGAACGTCCTTACTTATTGCAGTCTGCACTATTCCAAACACAAGAAAAAATATGGCTACACGCATCGTGAAAACAGAAAAAATAAATAAGGCGTATTTTCCGTGAGATTTTCATCACTATTTAGCCCGTTTTATTGTTTTTATATAGATTAACAATTTGTTTCAAGCACGACTTGTCAGCTATAGCCGAAAGAACGCAAAGATGTCAGTCCCCTGTAAACACGAAGATGGGGGACACAATAAAAATGTCATTGACGGTTCAAGTGTCTCCCTTCTTTGTACAAACTTTGTACAAATGTGGTATACAAAATATTTCATTCATTTTGGAATTGAAAGAATGCTAAAAAGGTCCAGATTAGAAGGGGGCAACGTGGATATATAGTTTTGGTGATTTAGTATTTACAGCAAAATATCACGACGTCGTGATGGATTCTCTAACAATTTTATTCGGGAGAGAATTAGAGCTTATATATTTTCCATCACTAATACTAACTAAGAAGGACACATCTGTAACAAAAATGAAGCTGAATGTTTACTGGCAAAAGTTGTTATAACTATCCAATGGCATGCTTTACAATGGTTATCCAAGTGTATTTGGTTGGGGAAAATTTCCTTTGTGTTTCTTACAATGGCTTAAAACAAAGTGCTACGATGTATTCAGAATATGAACGCATGGCAACCATTGCTTTCATCAAATAACGATGAGTTACGAATCGCCCGAGGTGTGCCGAGTAAAAAAATATAAAACTTTCGATTGCGGCATTGTTATGGCAAGTCAAATGTTGCAATATTCGATCTTTTCCATTTGTATTGTATAATTTTCCATTTATATTTTATAATTTTCCGTTTGTATTATATAATGTTTATTTGTATTGTATATTTTTTTCATTTGTATTGTATAATTTTTCATTTGTATTGTAAATTTTTTATTTGTACTCTATAATTTTCTATTTGTATTCTATAATTTTTCATTTGTATTGTAAAAATTTTTATTTGTATTGCATAACTTTCCATTTGTATTGTATAATTTTATGTTTGTATTCGATATTTTTCCATTTGTATTGTATGATTTTTCATTTGTATTGTATGATTTTCCATTTGTATTCTATAATTTTCCTTTTTTGTATAATTATACAATACAAATGGTAAAAGTATACAATACAAAAGGAAAATTATAGAATACAAATGAAAATTATGCAATACAAATGGAAAATTAAAGAATACAAATTGAAAATTTACAATACAAATGAAAAAATATAGAATACAAATGGAAGATTATAGAATACAAAGAAGAATTTGACAATGCAAATGAAAAATAGTAGAATACAAATGGAAAATATCGAATACTGCAACGTTTGTCATGCCATATATTGTTAGGGGAAAACGGTTTATTCTACCTATTCCCACTTTTAAAAAATCAGGTAGGAAAAGGTAAATTTTTATGTGGGAAAAGATGGAATACTTGTGTATATAAATAATTAACTATATATACATATAATCACTATAAAAACACTGATTTATTAACTCCTGTTGGGATGGAGGGGTTTATTCCACCTATTCCCACTGTTGAAATATCATGTAGGGAAAGGTAAAATTTTATGTGGGAATAAGTGGAATGCTTGTGTATTCAAATAATTAACTGTATAAACATATAATTACCGTATAAACAGTGATTATTTAACTCCTGTTTGGATATAGGAAAGCTAAATTGACCTTTTTTAATTGTAAATCTCATTTTTTGACTAATATTTAAAAGAAAAAGATATTAATATTTTTATATATATTTATTTAAAAAACACAATGCATAAGCCCTTATTTATGTAGGACAAATTCATACTATGTATGGCGCATAGAATAAATAAATGTAAGCGCTAAATCCATATAAAAAATGCACATTTGTTACATTACATATTTTTTTCTTAAGCCTATTTATTTTATTTTCTAAAATTCTTAAATTTATTTATCTATTTGTCTTCAAGTATACGAAATACAGGTAAGTCAAGGTGGGATGTATTGTGCTATAAAAACAAATTAACTACTGAGTATCAGAACATCTGTTGTTATTTGCAAGTGGGAATAGGTGGAATTGAGATTTTTAAAAAGTGGGAATAGGTGGAAGACCCCGATGGAGGACAGGTTAATTTATTATTTTCTGTAAATCCCATGTTTTTAAAACTAATATTCGAAAGAAAAGAAATAAATATAATTCATATCATTTATAATTATTAGATAAACGATAAACACAATGCATAAGCCCTAACTTATGTAGAACAAATTCATACTATGTACGGAACATATAATAAATAAATATAAGCACTGTCTAAATCTATATTAAATATGAACATTTATTAGATATTTAAGTGTGTTTTTTTTTCTTGAACTTATTTATTTTATTTTTTTTCAATTCTTAAATTTATTTATTTTCGGTTTTGAAGTGTACAAAATACGGGCAAATCAAGGTAGGATGTAATTAACCTGAAGTCCAATTAAAACAAAGTAACCATCAAAATCTCTTTCATTATTTGCAAGTGGGAATAGGTGGAATGCTGATTTGGGAAAAACCATAATCACAAAATGACAAAAATAATATAACTTCTATATTAGTTTTATTACAATTCTTAAAAAAACTTTTTCTTTGACAAAACACCACACATATACATGTATATTTCAAAAAAGAACTATACACTTTTTGATGAAACAAGACGAGATCACAGAATGTACAGTGGATCTAATGTAAATGGTTAATGAGGTAAGGAGGAGTCGAGACTGAACTGTACCCCATCACCGTGTATAACAGCGTCGTTTGCTGGAAATAAACAAAATATTTCATGTCAGCATATATATATATATATATATATATATATATATATATATATATATATATATATATATATATATATATATATTTATATATGGAAACATATATTAAATCAAAAAATGGTTTCGCAGTCGTATCTTCACTGTGTTTGCACTTAAGATAAAAGAACTTAGTTCAACTTTGTACACTTCTCAAAAATAAATAAACATTGAAAGTGAAGGCAACTTTTTTTATTTCTTAACAAAAAGTACAATCCAGATACTGATTAATGATTCAATAATATTTGATAAATGAATTATCTTTAATAAGAAAAACCTAATAATTGTCAATTATTGGAATGGGTCAGAACTGAACCGTTTTCTTGATATTTACCCAGTTTTGGGATGTGGTCCACCACGGTTTCCCCATTGGCTGCGGTCAGACGTACTCTGAATGGAGTGACCACTGGTTTATCGACATGGTCACTGCCAAATACCCAGAATCCATCTGTGGTATGACGTAATGCTGACCATCTATGCGACTTTGGTTGGTACATCTCCACTTGGGTAGCCGGGATTCTGTCATGAAATAATACTTTTAAGGAAGCTCTAAACACTGCACACTAAAGAGTACTATTTGTAGGGTAGTTTTATTGAGTTAGAGTGATCTGCCCTTAGAAGAAAAATAGAATAAATGGGAATCTACAGTTAATGACACAAATTGTTATGAATTGAAGTATTCTTAATGTTATGTTAAACTAAGATTTAGTAATTAAATACATCATTTCCATTAATTTTTCCGATGTAAGTAAACAACAGCGATTTCTGTTCACAGATTTTTCACTGTCTTTGAACATTTTTCCTGCAGAAATAAGGCAGGCACACTATGTTGAAAATGAACCAGATACACTGAATATGTGCACCTTTATATGATACATGTATATTTTTCTCAAAGTCCAAAAAGCATTTTTGATTAGTGTTTATAGCTTCCTTAAAGGCTTAAGAAACTTTTCGTGAAAATGTATTTCTTTTCAATCAAAGTTCTTAAAAGTTTATCTGTTTGACAAAAAGAGTCAAAAAGAAAAATAACTGTATTGTTGTAATTTCTGACCGTCTTGTTTACTTCTGTTCACACTACCCTTTTCTAGCTCACCTTGCATTTCGTATTTGTAATTTCAGATAGTAGTGATTACTGCCTTGAAATTTGTACTCGATCTTGGTGTTTCCAACCGGACATTGGATGGCCTGTATTTGTATCTTCCATCTTCCGTCACCATTCTCCGCCAAGTCCAAAGATCCTTATTACAAAGTAAGAATACTAGTGTATTATTTTACAAGGGTTATTGATATATTCAATTACATCTTTATTAATGAATAAGCATAGACAGGAATTGGACGTCTTTTTTTTTTTAAATCATCATTTGCCTGCGAATTTAGAGACGTTAATAAAACACTACTCGGAATCACTGTCTTTTGTTACAAAATCTACCACTGACCATGTGCATTTATACAGATAAAGTTTGCTGGTTAATTTATAAAATGTAATACATGAAGAGTTACAGAAAATGTACAATGTAACTCATTCACTATACCCCTCTCTCTAATATATATATATATAGAGAGAGAGAGAGAGAGAGAGAGAGAGAGAGATTAGTACTAAAGTGGGCAGTTGAAGATAAGTGAATACACATCTTTACTTTAAGATAAGAACTGACCGGCGTGACATTCCGGACAGAGGTCTTTGACGTAGGTTGTAAAGGTTCCAGTAATTGGGTCATTTCCAGCTCCATGTCCACTTCCATGAACCTTGAACAATCGCGATTTAATTTCACTTATTTTTTTTTTTAATCAAATTACACTAAAATAATTGTTTTTAACGAAACAATCCATAGTTAATGGAATTAAAAACATTGAATATATAAATAATGTAGTACGCATAGGTAACCATTCTCAAAGAGAAGTTTTTTTTAAGTTCTAACTACATACATTCGCAAAATCTATGTTAGTTACTTTTAATCATGAATTACATTTTGCTATAGAGAATAAGCAGTTCGTGGTTGTGAAGTGCGATGGAGAAGAATGGGTGCGGCGTGTTGGCTACTTACCCTAAAACACATTCCACAAGAAAGAGATCCATAGAACTGTGGAGCATTGAGAGCCACCAGCTTGTCTAAGTGACTGGCCACAGGGGGCATACTAGGAGGTGGATAGCTACAGGTGCCACCTGTTCCTGCCCCATAGTAGGTGCCCTTAAATAAGTCAATGTCAAAGTTGTTAATAGTCACATACAGTAATATGTAAAAATTTGCATGTTTTTCATATGAATTTTTTTAAGTTTGAAATGTAGACATCGAAAAGTTGTCGAAAATGCTTTTATTGCATACTTGAAAATTGCAGTTGCAGTGTATGAAGTATAGACATGGAAAAACTTGTACCTTGGATTTTCAAGGAATTTAAAAATTCTGAACTGAGACACGAATTAACCCAATAAGATAAAGTTTTTGCGTCTTCAGAAAAGAATCTGTTTCATATGGGCATTTACAAATTGTTTCCCACCAACTCTTCAAAAATGATCACTTTTCACCATCTCAAAACAGTTAAAATATTAACAATGATTCTTATAAAGAAAGTTTAAAATTACATTGAAAATAATAATTTTTAAACATTAATATGTTTTCAAAGATGGTACTTACATCCCCGTTATATTTTTGGTGATACAGATTTAGAATCCCTTGATGTGTTGCTCCCTCTAGCAAACCAAAGACAGAAAACAGAATCAGAAAAGTCATGATCTAACAATAACCTTAAAGATTTTTATCTGTCTGTATAGCCCTTAGGCATGAATTTATCGTTCCAGGTATAGAGAGGGGCTATTTATATTATCGCATACAACAAGCGACATCCCACGTTCCTGTGTTGACCGGATCCGTGATTCAGAAAGATGCCAACTCGTTCATCAAAACGTGTTTTCCTATTGTTTTGACTGAAATTATTTTATTCAGTAAAACTGACCTGAATTGTTAATTACAAATTTCTATATAACCCTCAAACATATGCAGTGCCAAATTAAATCGAATAATTGAAGATATCTTTGATTGTTTGAAGATATCAATATTCATTTGATGCGCGTAACAAATCAATAAAAATATTTTCAAATAATTAATGATAGATCTATCTTCAATTCCAAATTATTATGCACATTTAATTCAATTGTTGATATCATTGATTGATTGATTGAACGTTGTTTTACGTCCCATTCGAGAATTTTTCACTCATATAGAGACGTCACCATATACCGGTGAAGGGCTTCAAATTTTGACCTTTACTCGGCACTCAGGGCCATTGAGCAGTGAGGGAGCTTTATCGTGCCAACGCCTGTTGTGACAAGGGACCTCGGTTTTTAAGGTCTCATCCGAAGGACCCACAACTTTCACTTCAAAGTTTGTTTGTTTGTTTTATTTGAACCAGAGACATTACATCTCATAGGTATACAAAATATGTACATAAATATTTATACATAAGCTTTGCACAGGATAAGTGTAGTATATGCTATACAATATACATTACATGTGGCAATTACATAAACAATAGCATTTAATGTATTATCATTTCTTACTGTACACTATTTAAAACATCATTTCTTAATTGATAAGAAAAATACAGAAATTTACCTAGGTTACATAGTTCTTTAGTATTTGTGGAACTCAGTAACTGTACTAATTTAAAAACTGATGGTTTTTTAAAATAATAACTCTTGATATATTTAATTCTTAGTTCTTCATATCGAGGACATTTTAATACAAAGTGAAATTCGTCCTCTATCTCATTTGATATACATATTTCACATTTTCTATCTTTTCTTTCTATGTTACAATACCTTCCCCTCTCTATCTTTAAATCATGCGCTGATAGTCTTAAACGACTAATAGGTATTCTATACTTTGAATGTAATGGTTTTCTTAAATACGTCTGTAGTACAACATTATCCACTACATGTTGATATAAAAAAATATTTAGGAGAATTACAAATTCTTGCCATAATATCTTGTTTATAACCGTCATACATTCTTTGAAATACGATGTTCAAAGAATTATTATCAATACAATTGCTATTATACATGTCAGTTAAACCAAGCCTTTGAAATTCCTTCTTAATGTTTACAATCCATTCATCATTATTTTCCACCATATCTTGATAACATGATTGTAAAATACAATTATCACTGTTTTTTAATTTCACCCAATATTTCAAAATTTTCTTTTTCCTTTCTAGTATAAGTGGAAATCTACCTAATTCACAATAAACTGCATCATTACTGGTGCTTTGTCTGACTTTTAAAACTCTTTTACAATAAGTTAAGTGAACATTTTCTATATCTTGACCCTTGTGAAATCCCCACACTTCAGCTCCATAACTCATTACACTGTTAATATAGGTATCGAATACTGCTAATTGTGTTTCTACGTTAAAATGCAAATCCCTAGTTTTACTGTTTACACCATACATAGCTTTTTTACCCTGACATGAAAAATGTTTCTGTGTTTCAGCAAATTTGCCATTATAATTGAACAACATTCCTAGATAATTAAATTGATTAACAACTTCAACAATGCAACCGTTGTATATCCAACGTTCATTTTCAAGGATTTTACGACTATTGCGAAAAATTAATATTTTTGTTTTTTCAACATTTACAGTTAAATTCCACTCTGTGGTGTATGTATACAATGCATCCAACATTCTTTGTAAACCATCAGCAGAGTCAGATATTAAAACAGTATCATCTGCATACATCAGTAAAAATATATTTAACATCTGCAGTTCAATTGATGGACAATTATTTGTAATAAAGTGACGTTCAAAGTCAAATAAAACAAACCCATTTTTTATCGACTTAGGTCAGTCGCGGCCGAGATTCGAACCCACGACCTCCCGATCACGGAGCATTGATAAGTTTGCTGAATTAATGTGCGCAATAATTGAATTTATGCTCTCTTCAAGTGTATTAATCATTTCTCCGCGCAATAATTCAATTAAGAAAGCAATTATTCAGTTAAAAGACGCAGTAATTAAATTATTGCTATCTTAAACTGAAATTATGTGCGCATCAATCCAGTAAGTAGGCGTAATGAATTATTGTTGCCTTCAATTAAATTTATGATATCATTATGATATCATCAATCGATTTATCATTAAATATTAAACTAATTATAATCCATTTTCTGTGCTGGTGGAAAAACTGAAACAACACACTTTACTCAAATGTCCTCTCTACAAGGACGGAGGGAAAAAAATGACTCATTAATTTAAATATTCTCTTATTTGGAGATCAAACTGGATTTTTTTCCCCATTAATACTAACATTTTAAAACATGTACATCATGTTATTTTTGCATCAAAAAGATTTGTAATTTGAATCATATTGGAGTCTTCGTCCCTTTAGACGTTGAATTTGAAATGTATATTTTGTTTATTTCTTACTTTCTGACTATCCTATTTTTTTTTTAATATGAATTACGTTATATCTCTCCAAATATTTGTTCATATTCTAGTTCATTTTTTCTTCATTCTTTTTTCAATTAATGTTTCTAATACATTAATTTTGTTATGCAACAAGGGCGATGTAATTTTATAGTTGAAAGTATATATAAGGAAACGGATTAATATAAGTTGTAAGAACTTGTTTCGGAATCCTATATGTATATATCATTTAATGTGTATATATGATGGCTTACATTGATATAATGTTTTAACTAATTGCAACAGAATTTTTTAAAATAAATAAACTTTAGCGTGTGCAAAATATTTGTTGCAAAAAGTCTAACAAAATCGGATAATGGGAAAGCATTATTTTGGGCTTCATGAATTTCGTATGAAAATTACAATAGAAAAAGGGAATAAATCGTCTCATGGTAAATTTTAGTTAAAATCTCGGTGCACTTTTTTACCTTGAAGAGGAAATGAAAAAAATGTGCAAAATGACATTTATAGATACAGTAAAACCTTTAATACCATTTTTTTTTAAATTATTGGTTCTATAGAATAATACTTTTTAGTAAAATATATCAAAATTTGCTTTATTCTATCTTAATTGTTGTTATCATGTTTCAATTTTATTTCCGTTCTCACCAGATATTCATTAATTTATAATTTTATATATACAAAAAAAAAAGTTTACAAAAGGTACTCCCCAACATTGGAATGTGTAAGATATGAAGTATTGTGGATATTAATTACAGTGCCGAAAGTGATATATAGAAATTAAAAAGCTGATAGAACTAGGACCGACTTTGAAATAATGTTTGCTTGCCTTCTCCCGACTCAGGATGAAAAAAATTGAGTCGGTAGGTAGGTGAGAATTTTTTTTTTCAAAGAAAATTTCAAAATCAATGTTGAATGATCAAAATCTGTTTTCGGAGTGCATTAAAAAAAATAAATGCTTCCTGGAGGTTAAAAAAGTTTGAGTCGGGCCATCTTTAGCCAGTCGGTCGGGAAGGGGAAAACCAAACAATTTTTTAAAGATGGCCTAGTAAAATTAAAAAAACCCCAACTTTTTCTACACTTTGCAGTTATTGTGCTGTCCATCAAGGCACCTCGCAAAACTCCATGACTGGTGATCTGATTATAATTATATATAATATTTGTCTCCTTCATTTTGATGATAATACATATTCATCATTTATCACTGATTTAATTTATTTTGATTGCCAAATGCAATAATTTTTTTTTTTTTTAAATGCTATGATATCTTAAAATTTGTGAATTTTTAAGCTTTGATTTCAGTTATTAAATAAAAAGTTTATAATTTTTTTCTTTCAGAATTTTATGCTTTCCTTGGACTCTTTCTCGTGAAAATACTTTTGTAAATGCTACATTGTTTGCTGCGAAATGATGCATTGCATCAATCTTAACTCGTCTGTTTCTGTGATAATATTATATGATATAATTTTTAAAAAGCCTAATTCTGATTTTTTTTCTTCAGCATTAACAATTTTTTTTAATCAAATATATTTGTTAACATGATCTTTGTGATTCCTGATTCTTTGTACATTAATTTCAATAATTCATGTCTAAGTTTGAGAGAAGAAAACTGCCAGAATGTATAAATGCAAACTGTATTAACGTATTTTTTCTAGTAAAATATCCAAATATGAAACAGATTCGGCAGACTCTGTGGTGTATTTTATTTCAAATTCACTGGGATATATCGAGTCGACATATGAATGGAAATAACTATTGTTAAGTGATAAAACGTCGTCAATATACATGTATCTGAATGTGGAGTTGAAGGCCACAGCAAGTGTTTTTTTCTTCTTATGTATAAGTTTTTTAAAATAAATTATGCTTCATAGGAATATATACTATTATCGGCTAATAAAGGAGGGGAATTAGTACCCTTCTGAATTCCAACAATTTGTTGGAAGACCCGGTCTCCGAAGACCACACAAATGTTGTCAATAAAGAACTCAAGCATCCTTTTAATATAAACTTCAGAGTACTTTTCTGTAGAATCAGAGAGATTTTTAACAAAGTAATTTTGTTGATGACCAATCACAAGATACGAATATTTTCGAATTCCATTTTTATTGAAGAAACAGTTGTCTATAATATCGAAAAGCCTAGCTTTTAATTGGTTGTATAAAGTGTAGAAAATTTTGATGTAATTGACTTTAGAAGAAATTGGTGATTTTTAAATTTTCTTATAAATTGGGGTTTTTGAGAGTCCACATAATGTATGTGACCTGCTTTTTCTGGTTGAATAAACATATTAGCTCATTTACAGTTCTTTTTTTCAATGATGCACGGGTAATCATACAAAACATGCTTCGGTTGCTACATATGATCTATATTCAACGAGTAAATGATCAGTTAAAGTTTTTTAAGCATGCCAGTTACTAAGTAGATATGTATAAGAATAACTTTATTAAAATACTTTTGTATTGTTACTCCCTTATACACACTTTGATACATATCTTATGAGATTAAAAATAAACGTCGAGAAATTTTAACGTGTTTCCCCCCCCCCCCCCCTCAAAATAGTCTCAGCAATCATGCTTGAACACACATTTTATAGTTCTTTAATTTTTATGCCCCCGGATCGAAAGATCCCGGGGGTATATTGTTTTTGTCCTGTCTGTCTGTTTGTCTGTTTATCTGTTTGTCTGTCTGTCTGTTGTCAACTTTAACCTTGCCCATAACTTTTGATTGGTTGGAGCTATGACTTTCATATTTCACATGTGTATTCCTTGTGACAAGACCTTTCTTTGGGTACCATCATATTTGACATTTTGACCTTGACCTTGGAGTTTGACCCACTTTTGCAAAATTTTAGGAGACTTCAACCTTGGCCATAACTTCTGAACAGTTGGTGCTTGGGGTTTCAAACTTCACATATGTATTTCTTGTGACAAGACCTTCCTCTGGATATCAACCTCTTTGACCCTTTGACCTTGACCTAGGAGTTTGACCTACTTTTGAAAAACTTTAACCTTGGCCATAACTTTTGAACGGTTAGAGCTAGGGCTTTCATACTTCACATATGTAATCCTTGTGACATCACCTTCCTTTGAATACCAACCACTTTGACCCTTTGACCTTGACCTAGGAGTTTGACCTACTTTTGAAAAACTTTAACCTTGGCCATAACTTTTGAACGGTTAGAGCTAGGGCTTTCATACTTCACATATGTAATCCTTGTGACATCACCTTCCTTTGAATACCAACCACTTTGACCCTTTGACCTTGACCTATGAGTTTGACCTACTTTTGAAAAACTTTAACCTTGGCCATAATTTTTGAATGGTTGGTGCTAGGGCTTTCATACCTCACATATGTAATCCTTGTGACATCACCTTCCTTTGGAATGGAATATGTTAATGATAGTTAGGCTAACGATATATGAAATACTTTGTGATTCTAAAAGTCTGAATGCATGAAAACTTTTTAGAGTAAATTAAATATCATCTACACTGGTTTTTCAACTGGTAATTTAATTTTAAAAAAAGGATAGTAATACATTACCCACCTGTAGGTGCTTGAGTAGTAGAAGGTTGCTGTGTTGGTGCAGCGGTTGAAGGTTTCTGTGTTGGCGCTGCGGTTGAGGGTTGTTGTGTTGGTGCTGCAGTTGAAGGTTTTTGTGTCGGCGCTGCTGATGAAGGTTGCTGTGTTGACGCTGCAGTTGAAGATTTTTGTGTTGGTACAACAGTTGAAGGTTTTTGTGTGGGCGCTGCGGTCGAAGGTTGCTGAGTGGGTGCTTTGGAAGTTGGTGTTGGCATTGCAGTTGAAGGTTTGGGTGTCGGAGTTTGACCATTTCTATCAATTTTACACGTTCCAGTTGGCATAGGAAGAGAATAAAAGTCAACGTGAAACCTCAATCTAATTTCATTTTGCCTCTCAGGCCATCTACTTTTTAAGTAATACCATAGCCCATTTGACTGTTGATCTTCAATATCCATTGTCCACTCCTATAACAAACATGTTTTCCCTAAGTTATAATGAATCTACTTTAAAATCAGATTTCTATAGTTACCACAAAGTTAGTGCAGATAGTATGATAGAAATTGTGATAATCTAGCTATCTTGTAAATAAATACACATCTGTTACCGTCATGTGGTAAGTTTCTTTGTCAAATTCCACCATGATTTTATAGGAGTTAAGAACTGGCTTAATCTGGAATATACAGACTCCGGTCATTCTATAGCCATTTCCAACGCTCCAATGTTGTCCCTTCACTGATATCGGTATGACGTCAGAAAAGGACACTGGTATTGTAGTTGTGGAGTATCGTGGTTTTGACGTTGTCGTTGGTTTTTGTGTCACTGTCGTGGAACTTGCTTGTGGTGTCACTGACGCATGCGTAGTGCGCGTTTGTGGTGTTGTAGAGGGTGGCGTTATGTTACTGATGCATCTTCCTATTGGAAACTTCTTCTTGCTACCTCTGTATGTCAAAATGAATTCAACTTTCAGCATCGTATTGGAATACGAATACTTGCTTGATAATTCATATGCCCGTCCCTTGTTCAGTATTTTATCGATATTCATTATCCATACCTGTTAAAGAAAATAAAAATCGTAAATTATATTGTATGTTTTTGATTATCTCAACAATGTCAATTACATGTAAATTATTTTCTTTTATCCATCTAAGAAATTGAGGGCGTGAAACCCGTCTAATTTAATACGAAAAACACTGGGACACAAATTTTTGTTCGGAATATACAGAATGTCGGATTGTACAGAGTAAGAGAACACTAATCTAGTCGAACTGGGAGAAAAAATAAAGGCCGGAATTCACGTGAAACGGTAGCACAATTTTTATTTGTATTATACTTTTGATATAGCTGGCGTTCAGAATAATTTGATATAGAACTGAACGCAATTTATCATACTTCCAGCTATGAAGGAATGAAGCTCGATCTTATTAACTAATTCATTGACAATCAAAGGAAAGATCAAAATGATTCATAATTATTGATTATTATTATATTATTATATTTATTATTATTATATAGCAAATAAATAGTCTATAATAAAAAAAAAAACTACTAAAAGTCTAGAGAGTTTTAGCGTTCAGTATCTTGGCGTTTTATTGAACACTGAGTTTGATTACTATTATATTGTTATATTTATTATTATTATATAGCTAATAAATAGTCAATAATATTAGAAAAGACTACCAAAAGTCTAGAGAATTTTAGCGTTCAGTATCTTGGTGTTTTATAGAACACTGAGTTTGCATTTTGTATACGAGTATGCCCCGAATCATTCCAAATGCAAGCGTTCAATATCGAACGCCCCGTTGTGAACAAGAAATGTCGTCTGGTCAACCTCAACCGCAATATTTAGATAGGAAGTGTCAGCTAGGTAAGATGTGTTTATTTTCACACAAAATTGAAATTTTTAATTTGATTTAGTAATTTAGTACCTTATAGCCTTAATGACATAGGCCAATCTTAAAGCATGGTAGGATCATTGGAATGGTGCGATATTGAACAGTTACAGGACAGACGTTGATATTAAAAAGTTTTAATTTAAATGCCGATAATGAAAAATTCTCCTTAATTTTGAGTTAATTGAAATAATTAATACATGATAAATAATCGTCTTTCTTAAATAGAAACAATACATGGTTGGAAAGGATTTTTCTGAAAATGTGTAAACAAGATGTGTTTGTGAAACACTGATGCCCCCGTATAGCAGCTTATGGCGAAGGTTAAAGTTTCTCAAATGCAAGTAAAAATCCAGGCCAAAAGATAAAAAATGTTGGTACCCAAAGAAAGGTCTTGTCTCGAGGAATATATACCTGTGAAATTTGAAAGCCCTAGCTGCATCTGTTCAAAAGTTATGGCGAAGGTTAAAGTTTTTTTCAAAAGTAAGTAAAACGTCAAGGTCAAGGTCAAAGTTGTTGGTATCCAAAGGAAGGTCTTGTCTCAAGGATTACATATATGAAGTATGAAAGCCCTAGCACCAACCATTCAAAAGTTATGGCCAAGGTTAACGTTTTTCAAAAGTAGATCAACCTCCTAGGTCAAGGTCAAAGGGTAAAAGAGGTTGATATCCAGAGGAAGGTCTTGTCACAAGGAAAACACATGTGAAGTTTGAAACCCCAAGCACCAACTGTTTAAAAGTTATGGCCAAGGTTATGGTTTTTTCAAAAATAGGCCAAACTCCAAGGTCAAGGTCAGCTGGTCAAGGTCAAAAGGTCAAAGTTGTTGGTATCCAAAGGAAGGCCTTGTCACAAAGAATACACATGTGAAGTTTGAAACCCCAAGCACCAACTGTTCAGAAGTTATGGCCAAAACTAAAGTCTCATAAAATTTTGTAAAAGTGGGTCAAACTTCAAGGTCAAGGTCAAATATGATGGTACCCAAAGAAGGCCCATGTCACAAGGAATACACATGTGAAATATAAAAGTCATAGGTCCAACCAATCAAAAGTTAAGGGCAAGGTTAAAGTTGACAACAGACAGACAGACAGACAAACAGACAGACAGGACAAAAACAATATACCCCCGATCCGGGGGCATAAAAAGCATACATAAGGGGTTTGATATCGTAAATTTAGTGCATTTTAACATTCGATGACTTGTGTTGTCTGGACCAGTAGCTTTATTAACAGGCAAGATCGAAATAATATCTAGAGCCTCTTGATCATGTATTTGAATATCAGAAATATTTTCATTACATAAATAATACATTACGTAGTATGCAATTCGTACTTTCTTTATTTGAAATTGATGAAAAATATATATTCAGTGTTTCTTTTTTGTCTGTATCTGAAAAGGCTAATCTAGACACTCCATTTTCGTAGTATTGCAATGTGCCTTGTATTCACCAATAGAAGTTCAATAACCCCATACAATCGATCATATTTGTCGGGAAAAACCACTCTTTGCTTTATTTTTTTTTAAAGTGGGAAAGTGGTGAGAATTTGCGAATGCATAAAAATATACCCTTAACCTGAAGATTTCTCGTTGGTTTGTTAAAGATGAGGTCCATTTTGATGTCTCCTGGGCCCCTGAATTCGTTTAGTTCAAACACGCACCAGCCTTTCATTTTCCGAGCAGACCTATTATTTCCCCAGACATTCCCATTCTGTACGGGTACCTCGTAAATTGCACTCACACCCGTCCAGAAAGCCATTAGTATTGCTAAACTGTACCTGGATAAAGAAAAAAAAATCTTATATGAAGAATCATAAGGACGTTTTAAATAAATGACTGCATTATTTGCTTGCAGCAAAATACTGGTTGGTGACCAAATTCCTCTTTGCTTGGAGTTTGACGAAAATTCTTTTAATTTTTATAAAATACATATTTTTTTTTTTACAAAGTTTCTTGATTAAGTTGAACGTGTGCAACGGATAAATGCATGATTAATTTATTTCGATGTTAATTTATACACCTTTTCTGAAATTATGAGTATAATATTAGTCCTCGGACATGATTTGTATGAGGATTTTTTCAAAACATGTATTACTCAATATACAAAAATATCTCATTTCATTGGTTCATTGAAATGAAAATTAAAAAATTAAAGAAATGTGCAATGTACGATATATCCCGAATATCTGAACTAGGGGAGATATGGCACATGTCGTAGAACCCCCCCCCCCCCCAATTTTAAAATAATTTGCTATTTTACGCAGCAAAAATTATTATAATTTAGGCTTTTTTTCAAAAGCTTATATACATGTAGTATGACAGCAATAAAAAACTTACATCGAGGTTTTGCGCCTGAACTGTTACAAATGTACAATCATTTTTAATAAATAATAATTAGTGTAAAAAAAAATTCAGTGGCCTGTCTGAGAGAGGTTCACTATGGTTACAATTTTTTTATGCAAAATATGTATATAACAATCAACATTTTTCATGGCAGTTCTGTCAGAGAATTGGTCGCAAGTCGGTATAGATTTTAAATGAAAAGAAAATTACATTCTTTTTTCTATATTAAACTAATTACGGAAAAATGATTATAAAATCATTTCAGTAGTGTATAACTAATTATTAAGCAAAACTTACTTCATTATGTCTTTTCCCAGTGTTTCTCTGTGCTTGTCTTATTTGGCTCGCATTTTTCTCCTTACTTTATTTTTTGTTGGTCATTTTCGAGAGAACCTCTATTTATACCCTAAGGAAGTTTTCTTTGGGTCAGCAAAATAAGGTATATGACGTAGCTACACGAGATTTAAATCTCAAGTCCAGCCATTTGTTTTTGTTTGGATAAAAAATTTCAATGCAATTCATGCGTTAACGTTATTCAAGGGTACGGTCAGTTTGTTCATTTAAATAAGTCATACATTTGCCTCTGTTGCATGAGAAATATACATGTAATAAAAATAATCATTGAAATAGGAATAAAGGATAAATGAATGGGAAAAAATGAGCTAGTAAATGAACAAATATTTGGAGAGATATCATAAGTACATACAAATATAAATATAAAAAAGTAAGGAGTAAACAATTTAGTATAGATTTCAAATTCAACAATTCAACAAAACAGAGAGGACGAAAACGTCGATAAAATTCATGTCACAAATCTTTTGGATGCAGAAATTAAATGATGTACATATTTGAAAATATTAATATAAATATATTAATATAATATTTATAATTTCCTTAATAGTATTTTCAAATATGTACATCATTTAATTTCTGCATCCAAAAAATTTGAGGAAAGGAGAACGTTTTTAACTTCCTCATCAGTCAATATTATTTCTTAAAATATATGGTCACAAGCGTTTTTATTATTTGGAAGAAGCGCTGCTGAATTGTCGATTTTTGATTGGTTAGTAAAAAAAATGTTAAATGCCGTCGCTTTATCATTTTTTTTTTGTCGAATACGTTGCCATTAACTTCTAAGAGAGGTAAGTCATTACTGGTTTGAGTGTTGGATTATCAGTTCTTTTTTGCGATTAAATGTACTCGTTTCTGTCTACGAATGTGTTCTAAAAGTGGGGGGTTTTTTTAGCTAAAGAGGATATGAATTTTTTAATTGTCACTGTCTTTTTAAGAATGTTAATTTTAGCCTGCTTTCGTGTCGATGTCAGGATCAGGTAATAGTTCATCCCAGTCGACTGAGTTTATGTTATCTCTATATGAATCCCAATCGCCTCGATTTAATAACCAAATTTCGCGTTTGAATGAGTAAGAGATTTGATTTGATTATATTGGCTTATCATCGCATAAACAGGCCGGCGATAGCGTATATTCTGGTCCAGA